CCAAAAGAGCGTCTTGAAAGCGTTCGGAGAGGAAGCGATATTCGGACCGAACAAAGACGTCAAAGATATTGGCATTGGCAACGTAGGTCTATCCATTTTCCATTATCCTCCAACGATGCACTATAACGAGTCATTTAATTTCGCTTGAATCTGGGTACTACTTACGACCAAACTAATTTTTAATGATGAACTGTAGCGCTTGTAGAGGCGAGCTACGGGCATCATTGAAGTTCTGCCTCAAAAGGCTTGAGGATCACATGCACCAGGGATAAAGGGCTGGCCGGGATTGGGTCATCGCGTGAGAGGTGTGCTGCGTGACCCGTATCCATTTACGAAAGCGTTTCGTTGACAGAAAAGAGTTATAACAAGGCTGACTTCATCCTTCTTCTGAGGCTTTCGATTTGGTGATACTGTAGTACCCCAGCACATTCCTATTCCTACCGCTTCCCTTCATTAACGGTACCGTGAAAGAGTAGGAATTTCAACGCAATGCGTAAGCTGCTAGAAGTCTTAGTGAGAAGGATGATCACATTCTCGCAATTTCACGCTTCCATTTGGAAACACGTGTAGAGCATTGAAGGACGAATTAACGTTGAAAAAGCAACTCATTTCAAATTAAGGTAGAGACGGTGAAGAAAAAACCATGAAAACGGCCCAGAACCCGAGAAATGGGACCCCTTCCTTGCCCGTTGATTTGCGCATTGATGCGACTCTCATCGCTGTGCCCTCTTCAACACTACGCTCTCTCTGCTATCTAATCACTCGCCACGTATAGACCTGCGGCGAGTGATTAGATAGTCGGTGGGCGTACCCGGCCAACCGCGCCAAGAGTGAGCCATGCTAGATCGCCGAGGTCAAATCTTTCGCTGCCAATTGCGCGTCGGTCAGCACCCTCAGGAGGTCCGCCTGTCTCCCAACTAGGCAATTTCCCCCTTCTTCCTTCGTTCTTATCGTGAATTCGTCCTTTATTCTGAAACTACATATCCAGGCGCTACCAAAAGGATGACCACCAGTGAAGCTATCAGTCCAGTGCTGATGCCATCATGATGCAATGTCGACGTAAGCAAACCAGCCCTTTTGGCGCTTCGGCTGGGACCGTATGCTGAATGTTGGGGAGGGGATGGAGTCCCCGACGGTGGACGGACCACTCT